TGTGATGACGTCAAAGGCGCGATTTTGTCGATCGCGCTTTTGCCGTCCGCGCTTTTGACGGGTCACGGAAAAAAGCACCTTTGGGACAAGCACGGTCTTGGATGACGGAGAATCTCCAGAGACAGTAAGAACTGAGGGTGGTTTCACCTTAGAAAACTTTAAACACAGGCACATATTTTGATGAAAAAGACAAAGCATTGTGTTTCATCTGAGCTTCTCACCTCACCCGATGTTTCCTCAATCAGAGAGATTTGAGTCGGTGTTTCAACTTCCAGGGTGACCTAAATCATAGAAACCACAGCAGACAGATCAACGCTGAGGAAGGAGATATATTGGTGGTTTTATAAAGGGAAGATTGTGGGGGAGGGACACGGATATGCATGAAATCCCATGAATGCGTAAATGTAACATTCTGGTTTGGTAAAAGAATGAACAGAGCAGATCTGCCCGATTAGCCAGGAAGCTTCCGCTCCTATATTTGTTAATATCTTTATTATGTGCAATTAGCTTTTCCCAAACATGCCCTTGAATTCCTCCCCCTATAATTCCCAATGGTCAGTGGGGAAATCTAATTTTTTTTACTACTGTGGGCGTGGCTTGGTGGTGGTAGGTCATGTGACCTGGGTGGCCGTGGCTGTTTTAGCCATGTGACATCAAAAGACAGAAACTCCCTTTAACAATATCCTGCTGCAGCAGGGCTGGACTAGATGACCTCCAGGTCCCTTCCAGCCTCGGACTGTCCTCCGATGCTGCTTCTAGTGCCACGTTGTAGAACCTTCCTTCCCCTACTTTTTCCATCCCTCCCTTTCTTTCTCCCTTCCTTTCTCAGCACCCCAATACATTTCATTTCTTAAATTTCTATGCCGCCCAAATCCCGGAAGACTCCGGGCGGCTTACAGAAATGAAAAAAAGATTAAAAAGAATTATTAAAAACAATTGGACACAACAAGGTTTAAAAGGGAAACACAACAAACACCCAAATATGGAAGGAAGCATGCTGGGAGCAAAAACAGACACACACACAGACAGACAGACAGACAGACAGACACACACACACACACATACATGCATTTCAGGAGAACCTATAGTAAAAAAATGCTTAAAAAGCTTTTTTTTAAAAAGTTCCATGCAATTGTTCGAACTTTTTTTAAAAAAAACTTTTTTTTTTAGTATTTTTTTTTACTAGCGGTTCGGGCAAACTGGCAGCGTTTCACCCCTGCCAATGGTGCATTTAAGAAAATTCAGTCCAAAATACCCGGAAGACCACAGAGTTCTTTGTAACTCGCATTTATTATTTTTAGAAATAATTCAGGGCAGGGAGCATACCCTAAACCAGTGTTTCTCAACCTTGGCAACTTGAAGTCCTGTGGACTTCAACTCCCAGAATTCCCCAGCCAGCTATGCT